AGAAAACGTGGCGTGACACTAGTCACGTGACCTCGCTGACGCAACAATATATATCATAAGTACGGTAGTACTTGTAGTAGTAATGAGCCAGATGTGCAATGTGTGCAAACAGGCAGGCAGTAGCACAGCCTATGTAGGGATGGCTAGGATTGTTCATCAAAATAGTATTTTAAATATCTCCTCAATAGGTCATCAGAACTTTACAATACTGTACAGTCTTTCCTTTCATAACAATATTTATGTAATGACTGAATTACAACTTCTGGGAATGTCTGTACATATCATAGTAAAATGTCTGAATTTTTGTTCTTCTTTCTGCTTATTCTTTTTTATTACACGGTAACTCAAAATCAAAACAATTGTCTCAAACAATTTCACTGAGGTGACATAGTTTCAAACAGAGTATTTGCTTTTATAAATATTATCTTGTTCATATATCAAACAGACGATGCGCTATTTTGGTCTTGTAATTAGATTTGATGGTAGGTTGGTAAAGATCCTGATGAGTAATAAAATCGATTCGATGATACGTGAGCCCCACCCTTGGTATTGCTGGCGCACAAGAATATAGCTAACAATTAAAGAAAAAACTGCGCATCTTAAAGATTCTGATGCGCAGTCAACACGAAGTGATTTAACATCGACCAATTAAAATGTTTACAGAAGGTTTAACAATATATGGAGCTTATAGTATTTGGCACTAGAGGGAAGCCAAGTCTCGTCAAATGTTGGCGGTTGAAGTTAAATTTAATAACATTTACTGATTTAGGCTAATGTCGAAAATAAACTGAAAGAGTGAATCATTTGAATGTTAATAAGCTTAAAAATTAAACTGTTTTAATGACAGGTAAGGAGACATTTTAACTATACAGTATTTGAATTTCACGCATAAATTGTTATTTGTTAACTTTAGTCTTTATTAGTTTATGAATATTTCTGTCTAATTTCAGAGTAAATACATTTGAAAATTGAAGTTGGATTAAAAGTAATAGTAATACTATAGTATTAGTACTATTAGTATTACTATTTGCCAAAATCACTGAAATAAAACTAAATTATTAATAATAATATTACATTAAGCATAATTTAATCTTGCAGTTAGATTAACTAATAATAATATGTAATAATTATTGGTAAGTATGAGAGTTTTAAGATGGACAACAGTGAAAAATCACAACTAGGTACTGAGTTTCACATCACTAATCTAATAAAAGTAATATAGTAATAATCTAAGTATTATAGCAAGTATTTCTAATTACAGCATTAATTGAACTCCCAAACCCTATCAATAGTATCATATGTACTAATTTGAAGTGGGAGGCAACGAAGACTGACCTTGTGTGGGCCCTACGATACAGTACAAATACAATATGTTAATCTAGACTGACTAAAATTTTTAGTAAAAATAGTGAAATTAAAAATGTCCCACAGAAACCATCATTTGTAGTCCACTTTCTAGCTTGAACTGTGAAGAAGCGGATTCCCCTTACTTTAATAAATAGCAGAAGTTTTTATAAAAATCAAATCTAATTTCTTAAATCAAAGGCATTAATATAAAACGTTTACAAAATGTAAGATTTGTGTAAAGTATGAAGAGAGGAAATTTTTATTTAAGGTGATGCTATGAAACCTTATAAGTGTAGTGAGTGTTGGTATAATAAGTCTAAAGTAAAGACGTAGTGTGGAATCAACTAGTCAAGAGCCAAGTGCATAAAATTTATTATGAAAGCAAAAATATTGATTCAACTTTAAACTCTCATTGCTTCTGAATTAAGCTATTTTCTGTTATATCTTCAACACTTTAAATAAAAAAACAAACCTTTTTAATCAGGGGAGTCTCTAAATTAAGAAATCAACAATTGTTTTTCCAGTTTTGTTGTCTATACATAGACAGTACATAGACTAACAACAATATATATATATATATATATGCCACAAGTTAATTTTATTAATGATCTTAATTTTGATAGTCTCGCAAAGGAACTTACTGACATTTGACTACCTCGATTGCACTTTTCTGCCTCTTTGTTGGTCAGGCTTGATTTTGCAAAATATATTTATTTCAGTTAGCTATGAAATGTTAGGTTAGGGTATACTATGGGGTGGGGGTGGTAGGACTTCCCCCTGTCACTTTTGATGGGCTATATGCTAGTAATTTATAATAACCGGTTTTATTTCAGTTTGTTTGTGAATGGTCATTCTGGTACATTTTAAGATGTCCTTCGGCAGAGTGTTTTATGATTACAGACCACTAAATTAAGCACGACATAGTAATTACATGGTAAATACTAGTAACAGCGGTAAAATCTCAATAATCTAACAACAGCCTAGAAGTGAAGAGCTTATGACATCACGAAAATGTTTTCTAAATATACTCAACATTCTGTCCTAGATTTTATTTCTCACCATATACAAATTGGTGTTTTTAATTTTCTGAAGTCTAAAGTAGTTACGTTCTTTTGTCGTTGAGTTGCCTTAATTCTTTGTCCTTTAATCGGATCTGTTTTAGTTGGCCATACTCTAAAATATTCACTTGGAATTTAAAAAGAAGAATTTTCTCATTCTTGTTTTTTGTATGACTCAGAACATTGCTCGAGATCATGAAGAGATCATCTTTGCTGAGTAGCACGGGAAAGACTGGACGTTACTTTGGTGGCAGAAGTGATGCGGGAAATTTCTTACCGGGAAGTACCCAAAAAAATAGCAACAGTGTCAGAAAATCTGGACGTTCTAGAACTTCATCAACGAGCAACAACAATTTGTTTGGAGCTGTTGGAGGAGCGAGACAAAGGTTAGAAAAAAAATTATTGTTTTTATTTACTGTTCAGAAACGCTTCTGAGTGTAGCTAGCTCGGTATCAGCTGTTAGTTATTCTGTTATTATTGTTAGAGTCTGATAACAGGTTATGCTGCTTCTATCAGCATGTTTTGTTTTTTAAAAACAAATTCTGATATCTGACTGTTCAGTAATTATATATATATATACGTGTGTGTGTGTGCTTAAATACCAAAGAAATAATAGAAATTTAAGCACTTGAAACCTAGAGTTGAATACTGTTAAAATGATTAAAATATGTTTTACAAAGTTTTTGTTTTGGCATTTGACATTTTGTTAACTTTGAATGTTTTCTGTCTATTTGTAGGTCATCCTCTGCATCCAACAGCAGTGGTTTCAGTTTGTACGGCAGGAATCGTCCTGGAAGTTTTACAGGGATAACCAAGGTGTCAAAAGACCCACGACCTTTATCAAACCGAGCATATCAAAGTAAATCTATCCATAAGCTGCTCGAGGTAAGAAATGACTTTAATGTCGAGATAATATTACTCGAATTTTTGTAATGTCGACCGAAAATTTTAACTTTCTGTACCGTAGGTAACGGCTAGTTAATTGGATGGTATGATATTTGTTTCCAGATTAAAATAAAGCAACATTTCTAAAAACTACAGACCCGTATTGATCTTACACTTTTCATGAAAAGAAATCTTCTTTATTTACATCAAGTTCATCCATGTATGGATTATATTTTTTCTTCTAGATTTCATTTTATGCTAACTTGTTTGAATTTTTTTCTTTTTTTTTTGCTAAGATGAGAATATTTTTAGCTAAAGAACAAAACATTAAAAATTAATTTTAAAATGTTAGCTTACTTATAATACTTTCAATATTAGACTACTCTTTCAAAATAAAACAATTTTTTGGTAATAATCAAACTTTCCAAAACTTTTGTCACAGTTTTTATCAGATCAGCAGTATTCGTACCAGTTGTCAGAAAGGTTGCTTTCAAGTCCATCAACCAAAGATTTTGTTAGGATTTTTGAGGTAATGTTTAATTTGTTTGTTCACTGGCTAAGCCTTGGTGTAATTTATTTTCAGTACGTTATTATGAAACACATTTTTCATCAAAGAGATTAAATAGTTCTTATTTTTCCCACCTGTAAAATTTAAATCTTTTTCAAGTGTTTCCACAAACCTGATAAAATCAGAGAATCAAAAAAGTGGAGTCTTAATCTCAAGGAAAAAGAAAAAAAAAGCCCAAAACTTGGAAAATTGTGGTTCTCCAGCTTGTTACTTTTTAACCCAGGACCTACACTTGAACCCAAATGTTGTTGTTTAACTGAGCTAATTATTGTTATGTTAACATTATCTTGGCCAGTTATTTTGTTTGGTGATAATTATTAAAAATTAATTTCACTGGCATATAGCCTGTCAACAATGATGGGGCAGTAGTATACCCTAACCTCACATTTTATAGCTAACTGAAATAAATAAATTTTGTAAAATCAAGCTTGACCAACAAAGAGGCAGAAAAGTACAGTCGAGGCAGTTAAACGTCGGTAAATTCTGTTGTGAGCCAATCAAAATTAAGATCATTCATGAAATGAATTCGTGGCGTATTCATAGAATAATTATAGATAAAAATAACTTCTAATATATATAGAAAAGCCAGTGTGTTTTGGTAACACTACGTTCTAACAATAGCTTTTATGTCATGTTGCTTGGCAACAAAAGTATAACCTAATATTGTTGTTAGTCTATGTACTGAAAGTATAAAATGAAATGTATAGACAAAAAAACTGGAAAAATATTTGTTGATTTCTTAATTTATTAGACTATCCGTTGATTAAAGAGGTTTGTTTTTTATTAAAAATGTTGATGATAAAACAGAAAATAGCTTAATTGAGAAACAATTTAAGTTTAAAATTGAATCGATATTTTTACTTTCATGATAAATTTTATGCACTTGGCTCTAGGCTAGGTGATCCCACACTACATCTTTACTTTAGGCTTATTATGCCAACACTCACTACACTTATATGGTTTCACGGCACCCCCCGCCTAATGACCCTAAAATCGTAATGGGCAAACAGTAATCGAACTATTCTATCTGGATAAATGCATTTTGGCTTAAATGACACCTCCTATTTTGAGAAATCAAGCGCGACATAACGTGACACACATCGACTTTTATTGAAGTTATATTTTAGTTGATAAATGATATAATATTTTAGATATTTTTTATGGATAAATACACAGCATTTTATTGTATGCCACCTGGTTGTAATGTCCTCATTTGAAGATCTGTTTCTATGATGCTGTAGTCTGAAGTATACATGTTTTGATGTTTTTATTACTACTTGTAGATAAACAACAGACGGAAGTCGTATTAGTTAGATAGAACTATAAAAAAGGGGGTAATATTTATGTTGTATGCGTTCATTTTGTCTGTAAATAATGTGATCACCCTTCTCACAGAATCACACAAATCTCGATTGTTGACATTGATCTGACATGCTTCAACATTTACTGCTGTTGTTTATATTGTATTTTCTGTTGTTAGTCCTAATTTTAGTGCTTAAAGTTAATATATATGTCGACTGATGTACGATAGTGATCCCTGGTTTCTCTGTAAAATACCTTTTAGTAAACCTAAAAGTTACTGCTATATATGTGTTAATAGTACTTAGTATTTGTCTGTCCTGAAAACACACATCCACTGTACTATCTAAATGTGCATGTCCACTTCATTTCAACGGATGTAGACAAAAGGCAGATATAAGAATACTTTAGTGGACAATTTGTACAACAACATATTCAAAGTTTTAAAAAAGATCTAACGTTATGTTGAAGAGTAACATTATAAGTTTATTTATTGATAGTGTTACGCCTCCAGTCGTTAGTTAATTTTCCATAAATTCCTTCCGACGAAACTTTAGCGACACAAGTCCTTTCTTAAATAAAACTGGTTTATTCTTTCCGAATACAACTTTATGATACACTTAATTTCAACAGTCGCACTATAACAAACGCTATAACTCACGTCTCACGTGGCCAACAATATTCTGTCTGCATACATTCAATTACTCCTTACCTCCCCGTCGCTTCATGGGCAGTCTTATATATACAAGACTACACTATATCTAGAAAGATCACGAGATTTAAGGAAAAGACGTGAAAGTTCGAGAACGACGTGGCGTGATACTAGTCACGTGACCTCGATGTCGTAACAATAGCATCAAATACAGTTTAAATCAAAGTTTAGATCTAATTAAACTAAAGCAAAAAACGTACACAAGTTACTGTTAATTTATTTCTTTATCGAATTTAGGCTGCACTTAATAAAGGCTTAACTAATGTTAGGCCTAAGACAAGTGAACGTATAGCTTTCAGTGTTTGTGATTATAATTATTTTACATTATTCTAGAAATCGTCTATTTAAAGAAGTACTGTTGCAATAAAGACGATAATTTAACTGTTCTGTGGGTATCTGATACACACTCTTATCACGCACGAGTAGCAGAGTATGGTAAAGAAGGGTTGTGTTTATAAAAAACTGTTATAATGAAGTTTCTGTGTAACAGTGTTTGATTTTCTTTTAAGAAGTTTGTATTTGTGTGTGTAGAAATTCAATACTTTTTCTTTCATGCCATTATTATAATATGTCTTATACTTCTCACATATTGACTCTGATGTCTTTTAGTTTTTGTACCGTTTCTGGGACGCCAAGTACACTGCATCTAACAGACCCGAAGATGAGGTCCCTCAGTTAATGAAAAGGCTCGGATATCCCTTTCCCATTGCCAGGTCTATGCTTATCACAATTGCCAGGCATTCTTGGCCCTCTCTTCTTGGTGTTCTAGTGTGGCTAGTTGAACTCATTATGGTAAAGAATTTCTAAATACTTACATGTGTACCTGAGTTTTAATGAAATGGATAGCTGTTAGGATAATTTTGTTTTTTTACTTACAGTTACTGGAAAATTTACATATGTTCTAGATGTAATAGTTATTATAAATTTGTAATGGGATTCTTTTCTTCTGAAATAATTTACTGGTATTGAAGTGAAATTTCCTCGGACACGTACACGTGTTTGAGTGAAGATTAGAATACTCCAGGCAAGTAAATTTTCTCTCGGCATCCAAAATATATTTTGATAACTTGAATTTCTGTCAGTCACTTAGCTTTGTAGTATTTCATAATTCTTTAGCCGATTGATTTTTTTAAAATCCGGATGACGGTAGCTTGTAAATTGGAAAGGTCTGGACATCATTTCGAGATCCTAGATCTGATTGATAGAAACGAAAGTTTAACAGTGGATTACCCGGGTGAAAACTCGGATAATATAAAAATTATTATCTATATTGTTTTCCCATGTTTATCGTGATAAATTGATAATAAAGTTGTTTAATTAAACTACGATTGTTATTATGTAAAAGGTCATGATGTATACAAAAGATTTAAGCCCATCATGTGTAAACGGCTAGCCACAGGGACATCACAAATTCTCTTAACTTCCATAGTGGCATACTTAATTTGTACACAGGTTGACAAATAAGGCTGTACCGTTTTTATTATTGTGATTATGACTGTAAGAAAGCGTTCTGACAGACTTGCCATCTATTGTGCTAAAGTAGGCATAGTAAAAAGTGTAATATAGATCTTAACCCTACTTGCTAAATATTTATTTTAATACATATTAGTATAAAGTATAAAATTGTCTGTTTTTATTTTCCACTAGTTCTGTGAAAAAATTAATGTTACTGACATGTTGTGGCCAAGAAATGACTTCGAGGAGGAGGGTATTAACGTGAAACAGGTAAGCTGAACTGTCATAACAGAGTGAAATGTTAATGAATTTGAAGTTTAATTCAAGTTTTTAAAAGTTAGGACACTGATTAACTCGCTTGTTAAACTGGGCAGGTCATATGAACCAACTTGACCGTCCTCAGTCTCCTTTTATATTTATATTTTAGGTACTTTTTGAACACACAGCAGCCAGTTATCAGAACTTCATGGATAATGAAAGTGATGACGTTGAAGAGAAAGAAAAATTTCTTCGAACACTAGGTACATATTTATACATCCATATGTGTGTGTGTGTCTATATGTATTTATACATCCATATGTGTGTGTGTGTGTATGTGTCTAGATATATTTATACATCCATATATATATGTGTGTGTGTGTGTGTGTATGTCTATACATATTTATACATCCATGTGTGTGTGTGTGTGTCTATACATATTTATACATCCATATGTGTGTGTGTGTCTATACGTATTTATACATCCATATGTGTGTGTGTGTCTATACGTATTTATACATCCATATGTGTGTGTGTGTGTCTATACGTATTTATACATTCATATGTGTGTGTGTGTGTCTATACGTATTTATACGTCCATGTGTGTGTGTGTGTCTACATGTATTTATACGTCCATATGTGTGTGTGTGTCTATACGTATTTATACGTCCACGTGTGTGTGTCTATATATATTTATACTTTTATGAAACTGATTGTTGTAGGTAATATTAAAACCCTTTGTTGTAACTGAAATATTTGTAACTTTGATGTACACTGATGTCAGTTTTTTTAACATTACATCACTACACACATCTCTCTCTCTTTATTATAAAATGCAGTTAATATTAACCGAGGATACATGTTAAAGGAATTATAGTTAATTTACTTAGAAAGAAAATTCCATAAATTATTTTTGGATTATCCACATTAGATTAGTATCTCGTCAGTTTCTAACCTCGGTTTCCAACACTAATGGATTATCCACATTAGATTAGTATCTCGTCAGTTTCTAACCTCGGTTTCCAACACTAATGGATTATCCACATTAGATTAGTATCTCGTCAGTTTCTAACCTCGGTTTCCAACACTAATGGATTATCCACATTAGATTAGTATCTCGTCAGTTTCTAACCTCGGTTTCCAACACTAAAGTAAATTTAAATACGTAAACAACTCTCTAAAACTTTGCTGTTATTTTAGTTTTTCTTTCTTAGAGTATTGAAATAGGTGAAGTAAATACGAAGCGTAGCATAAATCTGAACAGAAATATCTATTTCGTATACCAAACAGTATGATTATATAATTTTTTTTCTGAATGGTATATTTTGTTTAATATTTTAGCGGAGCGTTACTTTGGTGGAGAGAAGTGTCTCGAGATGTTGAGAGAAGAATGCGAAGATTTAAATAATAAGCTAATGAAAAAAAATGCTGAAGTGGTTAGTAAAAGTGTTAATTATTTAATTTATAGGAGTGTAACGCCAGAAACAGAAGTGTAGCTACTGACCTAATACCGATTATTGTATATTACTTATCTTAAACGTACGTGCACGAAATTGTAAAACAAGTGGATAAAAAAAAAGCAAGGCCAGTTTTAGTCTTTTAAAAAAAACACAGAAATAATACTGAACAATAATAACAGAAAATATTACTACATCAATAAGAATAGTTATCTATAAAGTAACAATGTTGTGTCTGACTGTCCTGGATTTAGGGATCAGAAAAACTTGTGTACAGCACAGCTTTAATGATGTTCGATTTTAAAATAGGTAGTCTACATCGGTGCTGATGTCTCGTATTTTACATTTACATCATAATTTTTATGTTATTGGACATTAACAGTTGAGTTGTTTGAAATGTTGTAGTGTCTAACTGACTACTACACGGACACGTATACGTACAAGAACTAAAGTGTACATGTACTCTGTATGAAGCTTAAGTTTCAGCTACGTGCGAGGAAGACTTGATTGTTTATTTATGTAAGATTGACCTTTGGTAGATGATAATATGAGGGGTTAAGAAACATTGTCTTTACATTAAATTCAGCAGAACCCGTTCACCTACTTTAACATCTGTGGCTGTACAGTTCATAACTCACATTTTTCATTGGATACCAGGTTCGTGTTATCCGGTGACTTTGTGAAGTGTTTATTTTTGAGTTTCATTGCTCAGCATTCTTCGTGAAAACTTTGACAGGTGTGGTATTTCTAATGTCAATATAAAATAACTAACACTAAGTCTGCTATTCAGTAATAATTTAGTACAGTTCTGTAAATAGTTGTGATCATGGCAAAACAGTTAGTAAGACAAAGTTCTTAAGTAATTGACATTCTTATGTTCAGAAAAACAGAAATACCATTCTGGTAATTCCTTGAAAACCCTGTAAATAATTAAATCTTTCAATGTTGTACAACTTCTAGAACTGGTGTTTCTAATATTAATATTAACCTCTGTATCCAGTAGGCATGTGTATGAAGTGAATAATGGATAACAATGATTGAGGTCAGTTGCTCTAAGACTTGGCCCATTGTGTTAAAGTTCAAATATTTTTAAACAGATGGT